CACATCTCTTGATTCAATATTCTTCCCCACGTGTTCTCTGTCTCCTCCCTACAGTGTAACCAGATAAAAAGTTTTTGAAAGTTCTGAAAACAACAATAATATGTATGAATATTGGACTGATCATCGAATATCATCTACCGTGATGTCAGCTGATGGTTGCTGTGATCCAGTGTCTTATCATAACGATCAGTGAGGAATCAACAATCACGTATATCAGTTAAAGGGAGGTAGAACTCTCTACTCTTTCTCTCTTTCCCTCCTTCTCTCTCTTTCTCTTCTCTCTGTCTCTTCTCCCTCTCTCTCTCTCTTCTCTATCTATCTAACTCTCTCCCTCTCTCTCTCTCTCTCTCTCTCTCCCCCCACCCCCCCCCCCCCCCACATATATATATATCCCTCTCTCTCTCTCTATCTCTCTCACTCTCTCTCTCTTTCACTCTCCAGCCCTCCCTCGCCTCCTTCCTTCCTTCCCTCCCTCCCTCTCTCTCTCTCTCTTAACAAAATAACAATTGTACTCCGAATCCTGTCTGAAGTATGCCATCGATTCTGGTCTACGGATCTCAAGAAAGAAAGAAAGGAGGGGAAGAAAATAGAAAAAAGAACAAATAAAGAGGGGAGGAAAATTGAATAAATAAAAGAAGCAAAGAAAGAAGGAAAGGAGAAGAGAGACAGAAGGAAATTAAATTAAATGAAAGATAAGGACATGAAAGAGATAAGGAAAAGAAACGAAAGAGAAAGAAATAAGAAAAGGAAATGAAAGAAATGAGGAAAAAAGAAAAAAAGAAGGCAAGAAAATGAAACGAAAAAGGAAATAAAATTAACGAAAACAAAAAGTGGAAAAGAAAACTATAGAGACAGGAACTTCACACCTCGTCGAGTGCCAGTGCCAAGGTGCCTTCTCGAAGCAATGATCCAGGTCTTGGATGGCTTTATACACACACACACACACACACAAACACAAACACACACAACACACACACAAACACACACAACACAAACACAAAACACAAACACAACAACAACACAAACAACAAACACACACACACCACAACACGAACACACACAAACACACACAAACACAACACAACACAAACACACACAAACACACACAAACACAAAACCACACACACACACACACACACACACACACACACACACAACACACACAAACACACACACACACACACACAACACACACACACAACACACACACACACACACACACACACACACACACACAAACACACACAAACACACACAAAACACACACCACACAAAACACACACACACACACACACACACACACACACACACACACACACACACACACACACACAACACACACACACACACACACACACACACACACACACAAACACAACACAACACACACACACACACACCACACACAAACACACACACACACACAACACACACACACACACACACAACACACACACACACACACACACACACACATATATATATATATATTTATTGCGTTTGTGGTAAACTTGAAAGCAATCAAAGAAATTACATGGAAAGAAGAAAGAAGAAAGAATGAAAATGAAGAAATGGGAGAAAGTAGAAAGAAAAGAAGCAAAGGAAAGAAAAGAAAAGGAAAAAGAAAGTTGAAACGGGAGAAGCAAATTGGAAAATAGAAAAAAAAGAAAATGGAAGTAGAAGAAAAGAAGAAAAATGGAAGAAATAGAAAAAAAATGGAAAGAAAGAAAGAAGAAAGAAGAAAACAGAAGAAAGTAAAAAGAAAAGAAACAAATGAAGAAGTGAGAATAAAAGAGAAAAAAAAGGAAAGCAGAAAAAGGAGAAAAAACACTGAACAGAGAAAAAAAGAAAGAAATGGAAGGAATGAGGAAGAAAAAAGAACAAAATGAAAAAAGTAGAAAGAAAAGGAAGCAAATGGTACAAAACAGCAGAAAAAGATCAAATGAAAGAAAAGAGAAAGTAAAGAAGAAAGATAAAGAAGAATAGGCAGAAAGAAAAATAGAAAGGAAAAAAGAAAAGGGAAGAAAGAGAAATGAAAAAGTGAAAAGAAATGAAGATAAAAGAAAGAAAAGAGAAAGAAAAGGAAAAAAAGTGAAAGAAAAGAGAAAGAAAAAGAATATGAAAGAAAGGGAAAACGGAAAAAAGAAGAAAAGAAGAAATTGAAGAAAGTAAAAAGGAAGAAAAAAATGGTAGTAGAAATAAAAATAAAAATTAAGAAAGGGAAGAAAAAGAAGAAAGAAAGAAAGTAGAAAAAAAGAGAAAATAGAGAAAATAAAACATTAAAAAAAGACAAAAGAAATGAAGATAAAAAAACAAAGAAAAATGACAGAAATACGAAGAAAAAGAGGGAAGAAAGGAAGTAAATGAAAGAAAAGAAGGAAATTAAAGAAAGTAGAAAGGAAAAGAAGAAAATTGGAAGAGAAAAATGAAAGAAAATACAGACAAAGAAAAACCGAATAAAAGGAAGTAGAAAAGAAAGAAAATGGAAGAAAGCAGAAAGGAAAAGAAGAAAAATGGAAGAAAGATCAAGAAAAACAAGAACAAAGTGGAAAAATAAAGAAAATAAAAAGGAAGAAAATGGAGAAAATGCAAAAAATCAGAAAGAAAAAGAAAAAAGAAGAAGAGAAATCAGAAAGAAAAAGAAGAAGAAAAGAAATCAGAAAGGAAAAGAAGATAAAGTAGTTTCATATTGCAAAGTCAAAACGAATCATCAACCTCCACACGAGAGTAACATGACTTGCCACTCGTTCAATGACAAATGACAGCATGAGTCACAGAGCTGGAAAAACGGGGTTGTGTTCATACCAGTTTTTGGAACCATTAAACATCTCTTTGGAAACGGCGTGCTTTGTGCATCATAACAGGAACTCGTATAAAACTAGAATTTTGAAATCGTTTTTTTATCAGTGAGTAAAATGTATGAAGAAAAAGCTAACTGGATTTGTCAGAGGAATTTTCATTGAATGGATTAAAAAGAGTGAAAGAAAAATCTGGATGGGTAGATTGTAGTATTTGTTGCGACGCACTGGAAAAAAAATACGTATGAAATAGGAAAAGTAATTGGCAAAAAAATGAAAACAAAAAAACGCGACGCAAAAACAGATCAAAGGGACTGCATTATTATAATTCGTCACACGAAATACTTGCCACATATCACCAAAAAATAATATAAATAAAAATAATAAATAAATAAATAAATAAATGCAAAACGGAATAACTCGACAACCACGCCATCGATTCCACACAAACACGAGAAAAAATAGTGGCGAGGGTTAAGGTCGACTAGATTATGATGCATACAGCGTAATGTTCAGCCTGTGATAGTCTGTTTGTTTAACATAACATGAATGAAACCCCGCTAGGAACGCATGGTGGGAGTGAATGAATTTGTTATCCTAATGTGATTGTTATCCAAATGTGACTTTTGTGAATGGGCGACAATAATACAGTCAAAGAACGGTATCACTTTCATTGCAACCGTCACCACTATCATCATCATTCTTATCATTATTCTTATTATCATCATCATCCTGATCATCATCAATCAATCGATATTATCAATAATTTTAATATCCTATCATTATTACTATTACGATCACAATCATTTGTTACCATTGTCATCATCATTTCATCATGAGCACGACATCATCATCATCATCATTAAAAGACGACGAAAAGGTCAGACCAAAGCAATTATTAGAAAGCAAAGCTAATTATAAACATTTTTCATCAATCATACTTTGAAATATGGCAAATGAGGGGAAAAAGCGGAGCCAACGAAAAGGGTGGAGGGGACGGAGGGAGGGGAGGGGAAGGGAGGGGGAGGGGAAGGGAGGGAAGGATGGGATGGGATGGGATGGGAGGGAGGGGAAGGGAGGAGGAGGGAGGGAGGGGAGGGAAGGGAGGGAGGAGGGAGGTGGGAGGAGGGAGGGAAGGGAAGGGGGAGGGAAGGGAGGGAGGGAGGAGGGAAGGGAGGAGAGGGAGGGAGGGAGAGGGAGGGAGAGGGAGGGAGGAGGAGGGAGGGAGGGAGGAAGGGAGGGAGGGAGGGAGGAGGGAGGGAGAGGAGGAGGAGGGAGAGGGAGGGAGGGGGGAGGGAGAGGGGAGGGAGGGAGGGAGGGGAGAGGAGAGAGAGAGGAGAGGAGAGGAGAGGAGAGAGGAGAGGAGAGGAGAGGAGAGGAGAGGAGAGGAGAGGAGAGAGGAGAGGAAGGAGAGGAGAGGAGAGGAGAGAGGGGAGGGAGGGGAGGGAGGGGAGGGAGGACGGGGAGAGTAGGGAAGGAGAAAGAGAGAGGGAGGAGGGAAAGGAGGGGGATGAAAGGGGAGGGAGGGAAGGAAGAGAAGGGGTAGAGAAGGGGTAGAAAAGGAGGGGTGGAGTAAAGGAAAGGGTAGAAAAGGAGGGTAAGGTAAGGAAAGGGTAGGAAAGGAAAGGGGGAGGTAAAGGAGGGGAGGAAAGGTGGGAGAGGGAGGAAAAACATGGGGTGGGGGAGGGAAAGGTGGGAGAGGGGAGGAAAAACATGGGGGTGGGGAGGGAAGGTGGGGAGAGGGGGAGGAAAAACATGGGGGTGGGGAGGGGAGGGGAGAGGGGGTGTTGGCGGTCCGGTCCAGAGGGCGCGAGGCGAGGGACAGCGATAAGAGGGCTTTGGGTCTCATCTTGAAAATTCTAATTATGGAAAGCCTTGGAGAGAATTAAAAGACACAAAAGTGGCTGTGAGGAGGAGGCGACGGAGGGCGAAGATGGCGCTCTGCAAAGGCGGAGGAATAACTTTAATAATGGCAATGAGATTAAAGATGGCAGCTCGAGGAAAATAAAAATGATTAAGATGATAATAACGATAACTATGATGATAGGAACTGATATAAGTCGGTATCAATATCTACTATATTAACGTTTATTTTCAGTGATCATATTAATTCTTGGGTGCTCTGTAATTGTCTAATATTGGGAAGGAAGCGGTTTTATTCTACGCACACCGTTGTAATTCATTCAGGAACACTGACCTTACCTTTGAGAATGATTCTAATAACACTGACCCTCGTCTGGCCTGGCCTGACCTAGGCTGACTCATGTCTCACCTTATTCAGCCTCTGGGGACTGAGTGTTTCCTACCTGTTGCCTAATTTTAACTAAGTTCTAGGAAGGGAGAGACATCCTTATCAGCGCCGAGGGATTAGTCGGAATTCAGAATGGGAACAAGGAAGGATGTGCAACCATCTCCATCATTATTATCATTCTCATTATCATCATCCTGATCCTGATCATCATTCAATCGATATTACCAATAATTTCAATATCCTGACTTATTATTATCATCAAGAACTGAACCTGCGACATTTCAACAGAAACTTCTTTTGCTCGGGACAAAAATGGAAAGAATAACCAAAACAACATAAAAAAAGTAAATTTGTCATTGGTTCGCATAACAAAACACATTTCCTAACCTCCGTCCCCTTACATGAAGAATCGTCAATTGCTACGCCTGGTCACAAAAACGGGCATTAAAGTTGAAAATTGGACTTCACGTACTCATCAAAGATGTTCAAGTCGACGATTGCATAAGCTGGGTTATCATAACTCTTTAAAGCCAACTAACAAGCTTTTTTTAGCAGTTGTATTATAAACAAGAAAGCACTAGCCCGGACGAAGGGACATACCCGTTGCAAAGACCGCAGAGAACCGGATCAAGGCGAATAGAAACAAAAACATGAGAACAGCGTGTAATAATAGAGTTCCAGCATATCTACCTACACGTCGCCCATAGATGGCAAAGTATCCATCACCACAAAAGTACCGGAGAGATGATGAGAGGACAAAGAAAATGGGAATGGGGGAGAGGAAGGGGAATGGGGGAGAGGAGGGAGGGACGGGGGGAGGAAGGGAGGCGGGAGGACGGGGGAAAGGGGGAGAGGAACGGGGGAGGGGGAAAGAGGAGACGGGAGGAAGGGCGGGGAGTTAGGGGGGAGGAAGGGGACGGGGGAGAGAAGGGGACGGGGAGGGGCGGGGAGAAGGGACGGGGAGAGGAGGGGACGGGGAGAAGGAAGGCGGGACGGAAGGAAGGGACGGGAGAGGAAGGGGAAGGGGGAGGAGGGGGACGGGGAGGGAAGGACGGGAAGGAAGGGGACGGGGAGAGGAAAGGGGGACGGGGAGAGGGAGGGGGACGGGGAGGGGAGTAGGACGGGAGGGAGGAGGAAGGGACGGGGAGAGGAAGGGGACGGGGGAGAGGAAGGCGAGAGAAGGGGACAGTATACAGTACATACATACATACATACATATATATATATATATATATATATATATATATATATATATATATATATATATATATATATATATAATATATACATACATACATATATACACATACATATATACACACGTAAGGATATTCAAATAGAGGAAAGGGCGGGAGTGATGCCGTCCCCCCCCCCCTAACTCGCCCTGAATGGCAAAGAACCTCGGAATATTCGAGGCCCGGGGCACGAATGGCAAATGAGCCACTTTGCATGGCGGATCGATGGCAGTCGCTTTGATCGTGTCACAAATACCGCTCGGATTTCGACTCAGAACCCGGGGAGTGTGTTTTCGCTGTCCTATTCGCTTCAGGGAAAGGTTTTTTTTTTCGAGGATGCTTCGCCCTTTCGGGGAGTTTCTTGCAGCACTTGATACATTTATTTATAGATACGCCATATTTTATATTCGTATACATTTACCATGTATAAACACACTAACACACGTACAACAAAAAACACACATATACAAACATACAAGTACACAAACACGCAAAACCCGCCCCCCACACAACCCCGCCCCCCACCCACACACCCAAGGAAATCCCGCCTTGGCCCTTTACCTTCCGCCTTCACGAGGTCGCTCCTCTTCTCGACGTCCTCCTTCGGCGCCGCAGCAGAAGGCTCGGGTCGGGCGGAGGCGGGCTTCTTCAGGGAACACGTCGAGGGAGGCGAATCGTCGGCCTCCTTGACCTTGTCTTGGCCGACGGCGCCTTTGCAGATGTCCGTTTCGTCCAGGGTCTTCACCTCGAATCGCTTCCTAATTGACTGCAATGGTTAATGGAGTCAGTCACTGGATAGGGATGTAGGGTTAATGAATGAGCTCTATTTCTTTCTATTTGTAACTAAAATTTTTTTCAGATTTTTTTTTTGTTAATTTTAACTAATAATGACATCTATTTTCTTCTAGGTAGAAAGCACGACAGACGATACCCTTTCGTCTACTTTATACATTTCCCATGCTTTGCTCTTTTTCGAAATGGTCCTCCTAGTCTTTGCCTTCTCCTCTTCTTACTCTCTCATAAGTCTGTTCTTAATTTCCTCTATCCATTCTTCCTCCATTCCCTTCCCTTTTCCACGCCCTGTGCCCTCACACCGCAAGCCAAAGCTGTATAAAATGACCCCTTCTTTCCCTACCCTTTCTTCACTCCTTATTTCCCACCCTATTCTTCTCCCTTTGACTACCACCACCCTTTTATTCTCCCCTTTCGAAGGACCTATCCCTCCTTTCCCCTTTCCCCTCCTTTTTCTTCTCCCCTTTTTTCTTTGCACTATTCCCTCCCCTTTTCTCCTCCATCCATTCTCTCCCCCTCTCTCCTCCTCCCATTACCTTCCCTTTTTCTCACCCCTTCTCTTCTGCCCGCCATTCCCTTCCCCTTTTCTCCCGCCATTCCCTCTCCCTTTTCTTCTCCTCTCATTCCTTCACTTTTTTTTCCTTCCTCATGGCTTCCCGCTTTTCCTTCTCCCCCCCCCCATCTCTCCCCTTTTTACTCCTCCTATTCCCTCCCTTTTACTCCTCCCTCCAATGCCCTTCCCCTCTTTCTCGTACCCCCCTTCCCTCCCCTTTTCTCCTTCCACCCATACCCTTCCCCTCTTTCTCCTACCCTATTCCCTCCTCCCTTCCTTCCTTCCCCTTTTACTCCTCCCCCAATTCCCTCCCCTTCTTCCCCTCCCCATTCCCCTCTTTCCTCCCATCCACCACCCCCTCAACCCCCTTTCCCCCCCTCCCCCATCCTCTCACCGTAATGCGTCTCCGTGCCTTTGCAAGCGGCGAGCGACGGAGCCTCCGTGACGCCGCCGCTGGTCTTACTCGCCAGGAAGCTTGAGATGAGCTTCTGCTGCTCCACCGGGCTGTTCATGGAGAGGTCGGAGGCGCTCTCCTTGCCCGAGGTGGCGGCGGAGGTGCAGGTGGAGCGTGCCAGCTCCTCGCCGCCTCTGCTCCGCTGCTCGTTCAGTAAGTTGTCAAGGTCCGCCATTG